AAGATATATCTATACCGGAGTTCTTGACCTAACCAATCAATCAGGTTTCAATATTCTTGCACTTCTTGTCGCATCCGACGAATTAATTCTTAATAAATTGGTTGATTATGTCCAAAAGCATGTAAGACTACTCATTTTCAACATGTATACTTAATTTTTCTTATGTTAAAAATATTAAAGCTAAACTTAATTAATTCAGATCATTGATAAAGAATCTTCCTGGTTGCAAAAAAATCTTGTTGCTGTTTTGCAGACGGTTTTTAAACTCCAAAGTTGCGAAACAATACAGGTTCATATCATGAAAACTATCTGCAAAGATCCAAAACCGTTCTTTGAGTTAAAAGAATTTCCGACATTGGATAAAGATATTCTTTTGAAACTTGTCATGAGAGATGATTTGGACTTTGATGAAATTAATATTTGGAAATATTTAGTAAAATGGGGAACAACTCAGTCCGTTACTTCTAGAGGAAGATCTAAAGCGGGTGTCACTAATTGGAGAGACAATGATTTTGCATCATTCAAAAAATTTCTAGATCCGTTCATACCATATATCAGATTGCATGAAAAATCCCGTGCTTTTCCGAAAAATGAGAAAGTCCCCATGCTGAAAAGAGCATATTAGTTTTAGAAGTTATTTCTAAGAGAGTACGTTGTTTTAGAAGTTATTCTATATTAGATATCTAAAGGATAGAAACGAACGGGTTATTATCGCTGTTATGTAATATCGGAATTATTTAACGTTAGAACTAATCGGGATCAGATCTACAGGGGTCATGTCCGGTAAGGTGAATAATTGTGAATTGATTTACAGGTTTTCCCTCAAATAATATCACATATTACGTATTAAATAACTTAAATGGAAATATATTACCGTAAAATTTTTGGTTCATGTTCAAAAATAATTAATCAATGTCTTTTTCAATCTTATTTTTCAGATTGTAATCATGGTGGTAGCAACATTCTATGAAGATCTTTCCAATGATTTTTCTCAGTTTCTTGAAGAATCTGAAGATTACGATGTTGTTATTCAAGTCGGAGAAAAATCAGATTTTAAAGAATTTAATGCGCATTCAAATATTTTGCGTGCTAGATCACCTTATTTCAAAACTGCTTTATCTAGTAGATGGGCAACCCATAAAGATGGTGTTATTACTTTTAAAAAGCCAAATATCAAGCCAGTTGTATTTCTTTTGATCCTTCGGTATATTAAATTAATAAGAAATTGTCTATATAAAAATTCTTTTATCATTTACTTTTTTTTGCTTTAAATTTATAAGATATATCTA